GCTGAGTGCCTTTGGGCAAGAGGCTTACTGATGGAGCTAGGCTTAACAACCCACACAGCAGGAGAGCTGAGTGCCTTTGGGCAAGAGGCTTACTGGTGGAGGGGGGCGCCTTCAGTAACTCACTGACAGAGCTATAGAGTTTTGTAACACTTGCCCAAAAAGGGCAGAGGCCAGCCCAAGGGGCCAAGGGGCTGAAGGGTCAAGGACTGAGGAGAGGTCTGCCTATGAGCACGGCTGAGAAGCTGTCCTGACCAAAAAACTGTATCTTGAGTCATTCTTGATCCTGAATTGTAACCTGTTGCTTCCCTAGTAAACCCCATAACTGTGAGTGTGGTCTATGAATTCTGTGTGGCCACTGCAACAAATTTCTGAACCTAGGAGAGAAGTAGAGAGTGCTGTAGGAGGGATGACTGGTGTCAAAATTGGTAAAAAGGTTAGAGAGAGGAAGTATGTCTGACCTCTACTTCATAGGAATCAACTTTGGGCTGATGCTGGTCTTGATTCTCTCTCCTCCTCCTCCTGAAGTTAGACAATGAGGTCTGAGGCCACCGAGCTGTTTTTTACAGAATGAGACATTATACTTTAATATTATGGCACTGGGTTATTTTTATGTGCTTAATTTTTCCTGTTTTTCTTATTTTAATTATTCATTTCTGTGGTCATAAAATTATCAGGCAGGACAATTTTCATAAATAGTATTCTTTGCTTTCAAGTAGTGTATGTCTGTGTAATTTACAACTTGCTCTACACTCTCAAAATATAGAGGAACAAACTCTATAGATAACAAAATCAGGGCATGTCTGCAATCCCAAATCACAGAAGAAAATAACTATTTCCCAGATATAAAGAAATACAGGCCAGGTTTTTAAAGTACAGTAGAAATTTGACCCGTATCTTCCAGTTGTGAGCAGGGAGCAAATTTTACATAGTTACCAAAAAGGTTCAGAAAGACTTTCAAGAGATGAAGACCGAAAGTGTGGGTGAGCCACAGAAGTGCAGAGGCTTTTGCTTAAACCACTTATGCTCCTGTAGAATAGCGGAGGAAGGACTAAGGAGGGACTTCCCACAAAAATCCTCACAACTGGACCAATAACCAACATCATGATAAACAGAGAAAAGATTGACGTTGTCAATGATTTATTTCATTTTACTTGGATCCACAATCGATACCATGAAAGCAGCAGTCAAGAAATCCACACACATATAAATAACTGATATTTCTGTAGCCACAAATAAAACGAAACCAAACCAAACTCACTGCCGTTGAGTCGATTCCAACTCATAGGACTCCCATTACGTTTTCAAGGCTATAAATCTTTGTGGAAGCAACTGCCCCATCTTTTTCCACCAAGCAGCTGTAGCCACAAATAGAGCAATATATATATATATGTATCTCCTAGCCAGAAGAAGCAAATAGTCCGGGGAGTTCTGGTTAAAGCTGGAATAAAGAAGTATCACTTAAGATGGTCAAGGGTACAAGCCATAATGAGAATTGAACTATCATTAAACTATCCTTTTGAACTTTTCCACATCTGTAGAATGAATATAAAAGACTTACCATTTAGGATTGAGGATTAAGTGCAATATGAGGTCCACACTGCCTGGCACACAATATATGTGTATGAAGACATAGAAAGAGTGATTATCTTGCCCAGTGTTATATTACATTCAATATAAAGAACCATGAATCAGGTTACTCTGTGACTAAGTGGAACTGCAAGTTGATTAATTAACTTTCTAGTTTAAGTCATGGCAGTAGATACTCCCCAAATCTCATCGGCTTACAAAAATTAAGGTTGATGTCTCGCTCATGCTATGTTTTGGCTGCAATGGGTTTAGGTTGGCTGTGACTCTGGTCCACCAATCTTCTTCCAGGATCCAAGCTAAAGGAGTAGCCCCTGTTCAGAACATGCTGCTCTTGGGGCAGGGAGAAAGGATGCCATGGTTGGACCATACAAAGACTATTAAAGCAGGCATTAGACTTGGCCTGTTTTCTTCCACTGGGCAAAGCACAGGAAGGCACTGCAAGTCATGTGAGCAGAGATGAGAGTGTCTAATCCACTCATAGGGAGCTCTGGTGGCTTAGTGCCTAAGGCATTTGACTGCTAACCAGATGACTGGAAGTTCAAACCCACCAGCCACTCCTCAGAAGGCAGGTTGAGCTATCTACTTCCACAGAGATACCGCCTCAGAAACCCAAGGAGGGGTTGCTATGAGTCGAATGGAGTGGTCGGCAGTGAGTTTGGTTGTGGTTTTAATCCACTTACAGGAAGGGAGAGCAAAGAATATAGAACTGAGAACAATAACGCAATCTTCCGTGAAAGGAAGATTTAATGAAGCCCACCAGAATGAGCGCTCTTGGTCATTTTAATTTGCATTTCTTTAATTACTGGGAAATTTAAATATTCTGTCATGATCTTCAC